TACTCTGGTAAGCCAATTTAAAATCACTGTAACTTAGTTTATAAGCAAATTATGAATAGAATTACTATGTAAATGATAAAAGTGTTTATTATAGTTATTTTATAATCAAAGTTTCTTTATATTACTATTTGGGATCAAACATTATAAACAGATTTAAAAGTTGTAAATTTTTTGGACAAAAATTGCACTCTGAGACCAATGTTAACAAAAACAATTTGACTGAAAAAATATGATTAGTTTTTTATCTGTCATAGTATTCATGACTTTCTACTGCCTGGTACACGGTGTAAATCCATTTGTTACAAGTCTTTCATATTTTTTTTGTCGAGTGATTTCGGGCTTTTAAGTAGACCCGTAGTTTTGACGGCCAATTTTAGAAAAGTGCGCAGACTCTAGCGACCCAAGCTTTACTGGCTTACTTACAAATTTAGTAAACGAGGCTTTCCTGGAATGCCAGCTCTCTGGCGCAAGTTTTCAAAAAGTTATAGCGTAAAATGTTACCCTGGTCTACTATAGTAGTCCGCGCGTGTACTCTAGTGTTAATACTGTAGATAGAAAAATTTTCTCAAAGAAAACATTCCTTCATTTTTGAAAAGAAAGAGAACTGCTTTCAAAGATTTCCGAATTTTTTTCAACAATTCACCACCATAGCATACAATTTTCTGTAAACAATTAAAATAATTTGAGATTTCATGGTTTTCCATTCATTTAATTTATTAAGTTTGTTAGAGAGATTTCATCTTTATACTTAACCCTAACGATCGATGCAATAAAAATACAGGATGTAATTTTTAACAGATTTTTGTTGGTTCGATTCCCGGGTGTGGCAAGCATATTTTTGGAAATCTTTGAATGCAGTTCTATTTCTTTTCAAAAATAAAGGAAAGTTTTCTTTGAGTAAAATTTTCTGTCTACATTATTAAGAGTACTTTCCCTCCAGGTGGCATTTCAAAATTCCACCCTGTATATAAATAAAAATAAATTATTGATGTTCGTTAGTCTGATTAAAACTCCAGAACGGCTGGGCCGATTGAGCTGATTTTGGTTTTAAAATGTTTGTCGTAGTCCAGGGTAGGTCTAAACAGTGAGCAAATTGGGAACGTGCACGACATTAGCGCCATCTGCCAACGAAACTTTAAGGGGCATATGTCAAAAAATAAATAACAACAGCTTTCTTATTTTTATTGATTAGGGTAAATAAAATATACTTTAAAAGACAATAAGTGGTAAGTTGAATGGGATTTGATAAAAACTGTTTATGGAGAAATGGACGTCATTATAAAAACTGGTTTTGAGTGTGTAAAACACACAATAAGTTTCTAACCCCAAACTCAGCTAAAAGGGAAAAAATTGGTGCTAGCAGAGCATGTGAGGAATGTAGAAGAGCTGAGAACTAATGGCAATAGTTATTTATTGAGCCACCATCANCCCTTTTGGAAAGTGGATGTCAAGAGTTCCTTAAGGCTTTCCTCAGAGCTGGTTAGCTGGTCGTGATGTCCTTGCGTTTGTATAGAATCTTGCGTAGTAAGAGATGACGATAAACCTCCGAAACATATTTGCTCTATTTTTTATTTATTTATTTATTTAATTTTCTTTGTCTTGCACTTTCTACTTTCTTAACTAACTTTTTGTCTACACCTTAACACTCTGGATGCCTTGGTTTTATTTGTTTTTGTTAAAATATTTTATTTGTTTTTAAATCCTCCTCACCGCGGCGCTTATAAATCTTGATTTTTTTAAATAATTTTTCTTACAACCCTCCAAGCATGGTGAAGATACACAAGTTTTTTTTACACAGTTAGGCTCTGGTAGGATTTATAGCTTTTCCCAAAATATAATACACTCCCGAATGATAAGATTAGAGGTTTCAATAACATTTAATTAACTTCGCAAAATATTTTAAAAACTACTGCAAAAACTTGACGATTAACAGTAAATTTGTGCCTATTATTTGATAAATTTACGTCCCCGACTAAGAAAATACTTTTTTATTGCTTCTTAATTACACAGCCATCTTCTAAATGTCAAACAATAGGTGTTTATCACGAGATTAATTGAGAACAAATGACAAATACCGCGAATACGCACCGCTACTGCCGCGCAACATGTTTCGATGCAAGTCGGCACGGGTTATCGTACTCCAAATAAGGTAAAAATTTATTTCCGAGTGTTTTAGAGGCAAACAAACAAAACTAAGACCTATGCGTTACAAATTTAAAACTTTGAAAAATAAGGGACACCCTAATACAGGGTGTTCGTTCATTCGTTCGTTCAGATCCAGATCCAGATCCTTCATAAGATCGACGGTCCACCTAGTCACTAGGTCCTTGTGGGAGATCTGCCCAGACCTCTTGAGAGATCTGACAAGAACTTTTCTGCCATCAACTCTACAATTTGTAACCCGCCCACTGCCACTTGTGTTAAGGAAATAAATAATTAACACAAATTAAATGAAATATTGTCTTTGTCTTTCATCCTTCACACCCTGTATTTTGCATGATGCAATCACCATCTGCCTCTAGCTCCATAAATGGTAACAAAATCGTGACGTAGAGCGGTGCGTGCTAGCGTAAGACACACCCCTTTTTAACTTTTTAAGCAATTTTCTTTGTTTTAGATCGATCTAACTGTGGATCGAACCCTATCAATGATTTATCGCTAAATTTAAACTTTTCCTAAAGGATTTTAATTATGTTTATAACATATAGTGTGGAAATTAAGGGAAAACACTTGCAGACTTGTTAGGACATGACATGTAGTGGAAAGCTCCTTAATTATTTTAGTAACGTCTCAATTTTATGTAGTAGATACTGGGGTATATTCGCACAAGGACAATTTCTAAATGTGAGCTATTTCTAAAAAACATTTAAATAGCCTTCGAAAACCATGTTACAAAAGTTTGATTGGAATAGATAATCTCTTTAATTTTAAAGAAACCAGTGATAATGAATAATAGACCAATTGTACGTCACAATCGCCATTGCTTGCGTGTTTTTTTGTGTCATCAATTCTTAGTTCTTCTTCTATGGAGCTACTAATGGAGTGCATTCACACTGTAAATTTGCTCCGCCAGGTGGCGTATCATCTATCCATCCGATGCATTCATTTTGTAGATATATTTTATGCTGGATTTTTACTAATCCAAATCCGTCCGTTAACTGTCAAACAGTATGTTTTTAGTCAAAATATCTACGGTTTTTATTGTTTTAAAATTTTCATGAATTTTTAAAAATGAAATCTGATTGAAATCGGTTGGACAGATTTCGAGTAGGATTTATTAGAGAAAACCAGCAATAGTTGGACAACACCGGAATCCCAGATATGACATTGTCAGGAGGGCGCTACTATCAATACTGAGTTATTAGTTCCGATTTTTACCACGTTGGACAACACAGTACCTCTAGCATGAACAACTTTCGTCTTCGAATCGTTTGCGTATTCGACAAAATTCGATACTCAACCGAATTAAACAATAACGTGAAGACCCCGGTCTTCCTCGTCCTCGGGGTTTAGTTTTGATGTCTAGCACTGTTCTGGTCGTTTATATTTGTATGGTTACTGTACAGGGTGGAAACGATAAGTGATCTCACTCGATTGTTTCTAAACTGTTTAAGATATCCAAAAACTGGTTACTGATCCTGAAAGTGCTCTACGAGCTCTATCCAACGGTACTAATAATAGGTTACCAAATAAACTAGATCTATCCGAAAATTCAATGTTTCCGGCTTCCATACATTTAGTAAAACCACAATATTAAAAACTATACAAGATATCCAAAAACTGGTTACTGATCCTGAAAGTGCTTCACAAGCTCTATCCAACTGGTACCGTTGTAATAGGTTACAAAATAAATTGGATCTATCCGAAAATTCAATGTTTCCAGCTTCCATACATCTACTGCCACAGTCATGGCACTCATGTCTTGATAATATTATAGCATAGCAAGTAAAGCCTAAAACCAATGTTTTCCATGAATAACTTTTAAATAAGAATGCAATTTGGAGTTCAATTTAAGTGTTTATTATTGAATAAAAAAATTTACACTTCTAATATTGTGTAGCTGGCATACATTTAGTATGGAGCCTAAAAAACATTGAATTTTCGGATAGATCCAGTTAATTCTGCAACCTATTACTGATACCATTTGAAAGAGCTCGTGAAACACTTTCAGGATCAATAACCAGTGTTTCGATATCTTGTATAGTTTATAAATAATCGAGTGAGATCACTTATCGTTTCCACCCTGTATAATCATTCAAACCTACTTGATGGTAGTGTCCTAGTGTAATCGTAACTAAAGATTGTAGTGTGTAACTATAAGAAAGCACATCCACCATGATTTAATTGATATCATTGTAATAAAAACAAAAATATGTTTAATATAATGTATTTATTCACACCCTTACATTTATGAAAATGTAATTAGCTATTTTTTCCTTGGCCTATACATAGTTATTGGCATATTGGATTGTTAATAAGTATTTACTACATTGGACTGCGTATTGCTCAGAAAAAATATTTGCCTCTTTTAGGCTTGTTTATTTTCATTTTAGGCAAATTGGCCAATAACTATATTATATGTATTGGCTAATTACTATAGCGATCACTACTTTTACCTAAATAAAAACCTACTACTTAATAAATGTAAAACTTCTTACGTATAATTCGATGGCACGAGAAAGTATAAAAAGATTATGATCTGTATGTTTATTTTGGTCCAGTCAATATCGGCACAACGGCAAACATCGCAAATGTACGATTATTTTATATTTTATGTTGTTAGATTCCTTAAGAGAAGTTTGCAACCCTAAACCATGTACTTCTACCAAGGTGCGCGAAAAACTGGGAATTTTTTTCCACTTTTTTTCTCACAAAATGCTCTCATTCAAAATCAAAAATATTTTATTCAATTTAGACCAATAGTGGCACTTATGAACGTCAAAATATAATAAATTAAATAAAGGTAGCCCTTATGGGGCACTTTACATGTCTCCTTATCTTTTGGGCACTACCAGCGCTTCGAAATAAACATGGCAAGTGCTGAGAAGAAACGCCGGAACAAACTCACAAACAATGCAATTTCCCGGTAAAATCAATCTTCTTCAGGGGTTTATAGTTTGGTCCCCATAAGATTTGTAGAGCTGGACTTATATGTTACAATTTTAATGGATTTTATTGGGTCCTGACTCCTGAATCACTTTGTCCAAAATTTAACTATGATAATTAGAGCAAAAAATGCCAAAATTTCCCAGCAACATGTGAGAAATACAGGGATGTAAACTTCGCTCAAGGTGCTTAACAACATTTAAAAAATATTTATACTCGTACATGCGCTTTTGCGATGATCGATGTCGATGTTGACTGGACTATTTTGTTGTCTTAAGATTATAATTATGACAAAAAATAGGATTTTAAAATCCTATTCTGATATTAAGATTAAGTAGTTCATAAAAGTATTTTGATTTTCAGCTGAAAGACACTAATAAAATTTGGTATTTGTAAAATTGTTAGGTATACGCTATATACGAGTAATATTCGTTTTAGTTATACATTATTTCTTAAAAAGAAAATTTTGCACTCGCCTTACAATTATAGGCTTAATTATCACAATAAATGCTTCATATAAAAACCTGTTCAGTCCGTGATTTGCATGTTACATTAATAATTTTCCAATAACTTCTTTATACATTAATGAAAAAGCCTTTTTTACATCAATTTAAATCGTTTTAGCACCAAAAAATACCAATCGTTTATAAGATATGAATAGGCACAGTGACTAACTAAAATAAGCTTAGAAATTAAGTTAAGTATTATATTATTACAGTCAACAACAGCACATCAGTCTATGTTACAGTCTGTTAAAATCACCTTTGACTGCAACAACAGTCAAAAATGGTTTTGACTAACGAACTTCTTTAATAAAAATACTTTAAAAATAACAACATTATCTACACAATACAAACTAGTATTTTTCACTTATCATAATTTTGTATGAATTTCGACTGATTTTTAAAATTGTAAATAAGGTTAATTCACTGTTGACTGATTTTTGCAGATTTTTGACTAACGCCTTTGGTCTAAACCACTTTTAACGGGAAATAACAGTCAGAAGTGTTTTTGACCGATTTTGTGGGGTTTGACTGTAACATAATACATTATTTTTATTGCTTAATAACAAGTACAATTAGGTACATAAGATGTCTTAGTGTTTTGATTGGTATGCTGTCGTCTATACAATAACCACATACGTTTTTACAGAATATTGGCGTGGAACTGTAGAGGTGAGTTTTTCGTCATCTCGCACGATCGTGCGTTTGTAATGCATCCAGTCATAAAATCTTAAACGTTATGTAGCTGACTGTACATAGTCACCTCAGATTTTTATACTTGTGCTAGTTCACTGAAAAAACTGGTTTGGTTACGGTTTACACAAAAAAGTGACTTGCTAACTGGAGGTTACTACTACTTTAGGTTATGGGGAAAAAATCTTGCGTAAATTAAATATACTACATATTTTGTACTGAGCTAAACTTGGTTTCCTTATAGGTTAACATTCAGTTCGGAAGTCACTATTTTGTGTAAGCAGCAACCAAACACTTTTATCATTGTTGACAAAAATATTAGCTTAAATTGGTTCTAAGTCGCATGATCGTGCGATGTCGAATAACTCGTAGAGGTATATAGGAATCTTAACTAAAACTTATTATTTATCTTTCGTGCATTTCTTGTTGGAGGCTTTCTTTTTGTCGTCATCATCATCCCCCAGCAGCCACCTGGCTAGGAAGCCTGATGATCCGTGGCTCGATGACGGTTCAACCAGATTCGACCCGGCGAATGACCCTGTGAAGCTTGACCCTGACCCTGGAATGAAAATGTACAAGTTACAAAAAGTTAAACAGGTCATGTGCCTACATTATTATATTTTTATTTTAAAGTTTCGCAAGTTGTTCTTATCGACGTATAACTATTTATGACATTAAAATAAAAGAAAAAAAAACGTAAAACCTGTCGTTACATGGAGATGAATATACCCCAACAGACCTCAACTGGACCTGGTCCAGGACCTGACCTTTCTATTGGTATTCTAGAGCGCCTACTACGTACGACTACTATAGGTAGTGCAGTATCTTTAGGGAAGCGCTATATTTTACACCCTGTGAACTTAGGATGTGTTTGCCCAGGTGTAAGCTGCGGTTGCGCATCAAAGATCCGCAGTCCGTGAGAATGTGTAGTGGCGTTTCATCTTCTTGTTTTGGACAATCCCATAACGGGACTATTCCCACCTCTCGTTCCCACCGCTGCAACTCCTGTGTAGCCAGGATCTACAGCTTGACCGCCAATAAAAACCCAACCAGTGAAGGTCAAGTTTGTCCCGGGGGAAAGTTAAACTGTCATTGGATTCGCAACGAAATTAATCAGAAGAACATAGGAGTTCGAAGTTAAGATTCGACTTCCCTTCATTGCAAAGCCGATGACAGGTGACAAACAAAGGTTTAGTAACCTTTAAGAAAAGATTATGCTTCACGGACAATAAACATAAATTTTGGGGACCTATCTTATGAGCAATTAGCTTTCTGCCAATAATATTTTTCACATAACCCCCAATCAATGCGAGCGGCGCAGGACCAATCTTCGTGGAAATCCTTGGGGGAGGCCTTTGTCCAACTGTAGACGTCTTTCGGCTGAAACGAACGAACGAACCCCCAACCACATAGTGGACAAGTGCCTGTTTAAGCCGCAATGTCCAGTTTCAAACTGGGATGCGTATTTTAAACCTACCTCTTGGTATAAGATCCCAAAGGAATCCAGTAATTCGAGAGGTGGTACTCGGTTCCGGCTCAACTGGCTCTGCCGGCTCAGCAGGGACGATCGGCTGAGTTGGAGGACCCACTTCATCGTCTGGTGGAAGAAGATTACTTGCACCTTGAAACACCGTGGCAGGTAACGCTGGGCCTGGAACAGTACAGGATAAATCATGAGAAAAATAACTAGGTACTGATCAAAAATAACCACTAAATATCAGATAAATAAATACTGCGTAAAATGACCTAAAAAGATAAAAACAAGACAAGTTAGTATTCACAAATGCGGAGGCATCAATGACTAATTCTTTTGTTGGTGATATGACAATACATACATACATACTGTATACATACATACATACATAGACGTCCTGTGGCTGAAATTATAATGATGATGATGAATTAATTTCCTTGTCATTCCTCTTTTAACAAATAAGTAGAACATTCTACAAATAATCGAAGCAAAGCCGCGGACAAGAGCTATAGTAAGTATAGCTTTATTTGCCTACGTGCAAAGTACAACGCCTTATTCATAGAATGAAAACTGAAATTGTGTATCCGAGCTTATTATAAACTAGCGGCCGCCCGCGATTTCGTACGTGTTGATCCCGTTTTACCCCCTTAGGGGTTGAATTTTGCAAAATCCCGTCTTAGTGAGCACCTACGTTCTAAAAGGAACCCCATGCAAAATCTGAGACTCCTAGAACTTGTAGTTTCTGAGATTTCGTGATAAGTGAGTCAGTCAATCAGTGACCTTTCGCTTATATAGGTGTATAGGTGCTTGTTTAGATAGCATACTTTATCCATATCTATAAAGATATGGATAAAGTATGCTATCTAAACAAGCACCTNACTTGCACCTTGAAACACCGTGGCAGGTAACGCTGGGCCTGGAACAGTACAGGATAAATCATGTGAAAAATAACTAGGTACTGATCAAAAATAACCACTAAATATCAGATAAATAAATACTGCGTAAAATGACTTAAAGACAAGACAAGTTGTATTCACAAATGCGGAGGCATCAATGACAAATTTTTTTGTTGATGATATCAGAAATTAGTCCGATCAAGGAAGTTTTTGTAACCCGAATAATTCATCTGCCTATGAAACTTGGCACATGATGAAAACAGGTAATACAGATTATACAAATCCAACAACTTTTACTATGGGAAGTTTGGTTATTTTTACCAAAACATGATACGTTCCTATTACTACCCCGTAAGGTTGACATTGACATTAAAAAATAAAAATCAGCAGAGCAATTTTTATCATACATACACACGCACACGCACACGCACACGCACACGCACCTTTTTTATCTTATTTGTTTTAAAAATTAAAGCAACATTATTACGTTTTGCTTATTAAGACAATTTAATCAGATCTCAATTTAATTAATTAGTTGTCAGTATCATCATTGATAAACTCATAGAGGTCATCGAAACATTCACTCGTCTATAAACAGTGTTGTTACAGTAAGACAGAATCCGTACTAATATTATAAATGCGAAAGTAACTCTGTCTGTCTGTCTGTCTGTTTCGCTTTCACGCCGAAACCACTGTACCGATTTTGATTTGTTATGGATAGATATAGTTTGAGTCCTGGGAAAGGACATAGGATAGCTTTTATCCTAGTTTTTTAAACAGGGACGCGCGCGATAAAGTTTTTCTGTGACAGACAAAATTCCACGTTTCCGAAACCGCGGGCGGAAAGCTAGTATGAAATAAATATTGAACCATGCCTAAACCAATAAATAATATTAAACCAAGTTTATATACCTAGTTACTATGTAAAAATTGCAATATAAACCAAGTAAAGTTACGAACAATGGCATAATAATCTAAACATTGTAATTATGTAGGAGGTAATTAATTAAAATAAACAAGGAAACACCCTTACTATTATGAGTAATATTTATTTATTATACTATTGAAATGCTATTTCGTTTCGTAGCTTCAATACCTAGCCACAGATTATTCATAAGTAGACCTCACAGTGTACTTCTTCTTGTCGTGTCAACAAACCTATATAGTGTCAGCCCAAAACTCCCCTACAAGAGTGGCGTTGTCAGTGGCATTCATTAAATCTTCCTGCGTGCAGTTGTTTGGAAACGCAGGGCATGACATCTTGACGTGCTAGTACCTTATGGTAGAAGTAATTTTTTTAAGAAATTAATTGAAAGATTTTCTATTAATATAATGGTGTAGCTTGCAATCTTTTTTTTTATATCCTTGGACATTTTACACTGCGCCACTAGTCCCAAACTAAGCAATGCTTGTACTATGGGTACTAGACAACGGATATGAACATACTTAAACCTAAATATCCATTTGCAACTAAACAGGAAATATGTATTAAAATTAATGTGAATACATAACATAAAGGTCACCTTAATTTCGAACTCCTCCTATGTTCTTCTGATTAATTTCGTTGCGGGTCCAATGACAGTTTAACTTTCCCCCGGGACAAACTTGACCTTCATTGGTTGGGTTTTTGTGGCGGTCAAGCTGTAGATCCTGGCTACACAGGAGTTGCAGTGGTGGGAACGAGAGGTGGGAATAGTATTTTATAACATAAAGGTCACTGAAACACAAGTCAGTGAATTCATTTTGTTTCTGTATGCAATTTATCAATATTATGTTTTGAAATTGGTTAAAAACTGGAATTCCCGTGTCTGCATTTATCAAAATGGGTTTCCCGTTCATCGTTCCAGACAGTGATACTAGTTATCATGTCTTAATATACATCACATTATAACATAGTGGACTAAGAGATAAGTGAACGCCAGACCTACGTAAGCCTAACTTTTATGGTAGCTTTTATAGTAATATAAATTTTTTATTCTGGGTTATAAAGAAGTTTTTGCGTGAAAGAGTAACCAAACATGTATTGTTTAAATCCAGACTTCAAAACATCTTTGTTAACAAACTTTAGCATTTATAATATTACTAGCTTTCCGCCCGCGGCTTCGCCCGCGTGGAATTTTGTCTGCCACAGAAAAATTTTATCGCGCGCGTCCCTGTTTCAAAATCCTCCAAAAAACAGTTTCCTTTCCCGGGACTCAAACTATCTCTGTGCCAAATTTCATCAAAATCGGTTCAGTGGATTAGGCGTGAAAGTAAGACAGACAGACAGAGTTACTTTCGCATTTATGATATTAGTTTAGAAGTATAGATAGTATAGATATTATTATGTACTGATTAGTAGGACTTACGTTATACCATAGAAGCTGAATATTTATCTTACATGCATGTACAGTGTGCTACTATCTATACTTATATTATTGTTGGCTTGTTTGAGCTCGCTAATCTGGTCTGGTCCGATTTGAAAAAATATTCTTGTATTAAATAGCTCATTTATCGAGGAAGGCTTTAAGCTAATAACCTCACCCTAAACCCAATATTGGCAGAGCAGTAAAGAATAATGTTGCAAAACTGGAAATATTATTCAAACTATTTTCACACGCACGAAGTCGCCGGCACAGCTAATATAATATTTAGGCGCTATAATTGATGTTGTTTTCTCATCAGCAATATAGTTTTGACCGTTCCAACCCCTTGCCAGACAAACATTTTAGGGTAAGCTGCCAAAGCCACGATGACCCAAACTAACATCCATATTCACAAACGATGCTTGCTTAAGTGAAGCAGCAAATCGAACACATAGCGTTGAATAGAGCTCTGTGATTGGTTCGTGTGTGACCCTGTGCGTCCATGAGCACTGTGAGACATCATAGTAATGTTTGTGAACACGGGCGTAAATGATGGTCCGACGTTCTTACCTAATTTGGGAGCATGCGCTGACAAACTTTCAGCTTTTATAAATTTATTCACTGGCTCTTAGTCTATAATCATACTATCCACATGATGTACACAAAAACGAAATCAATACATACTGCTGCACTGTTGAGTGTGTGTTTTATTTGCGTCCACCCATGATAGAAATAAAATTGAAATTAGTAAAGACACACGCATTTTTAACGTAGTACACTCACTGAAATCCTCAATCGACTAAACTCGCTTGAGCGTTACAATAAATGAAGTTATATTTAGTTATCAAGCTCTTATCAATTCGCGCTTTATAAGGCCATGTACAGTTCACGTCAATATAATTTCGCATTATTATAATAATAATTCAATTACAGGAAATAATAATTCTAAATCACTATACATATTAATAACTGGCAATAACTTAATATGCCTACTCTAAAAAAACGTGGTTCGATAGAAGCGTTAATTTTTGCAATAATTTTCGTCTACTGTAAAAAATGCCATCCTGCTCTTTTTCCTAGAAATAGCATAATCGCTTTCTATCTTATTTATACGATTCCGTAAACGTTCTCCTATGACCGATTCGTCAATGAACTTTTCGCCGACCAGGACGATTCATTTATTTCCATTTCCCCAGCAGAATCTTTCAACTACGGGCCTTTTGGCGACATAACTTTTCATCTACCTCACTTTCGACGTCAAGCCTTTCCAGCTACAGAATAGTTCACCGACACGACGATAAACCTATAGCTCTTTCAACTACAGAACTTTCATGGAATTTTACCCATCCTGACTGGTTTGGATAACATTTTGTATAGAGATAATTTGAGATCGAATGAATAAAATTCTTTGATTTTCAAATTATCGGTTTTTTAAGCTTATTACAATACAGGAGAGGAAATTCGGTATCAACGTCAGTCGGACATGTTTGTTTGCAAAGTAAACAATATAATTTGACGTGGAGTGTACTTGTTTATCTGCTGCTAGCGCTAGCTTGCAACGCACAGCCCAAACTACTGGACGGATCGGGCTGAAATTTGGAGTACAGGTAGATTTTATGACGCAGGCATCCGCTAAGAAAGAAAACAAATTTTATTCATACACAGCAATAAATTAATGTAAATAGAGTGTACTTCACCGGTTTTATCTATTTAATAGTCTATCATGGATTATCGTGTGATATCACCAGACAAAATATTGTTTAATAACAACAAAATATATTATCACTATGTACGAATAAGTGTCGTGCGTTTAAAGACCGATCCTACGCCGCCCGCATCCAGGTACCTACCGCGACCTTCACCAGATCGTCGGTCCACCAGTGGGAGGCCTGCCCACGCTACGTCTTCCAGCTCGTGGTCGCCACTCGAGAACTTTTCTCCCCCATAGGATTTCTGATTTCTCGGCCTATTTTTTTTCTCGAGTTTCGGGAATTCTCGAGGCCAAAGTCTCGAGTTTTCTCGGGTCTCGAGTCGTTTAATTAAAACTGTTGAAATCGGTTGAAATTTAATAAAAACACAGGTTTTTTAATCTAATATACCTACTTTTAGTAGTATATCCGTTAAGCTAGCACCCATAACACAAGCATTAAGTTGCTTACTTTGGGGCTAGCTGGCGCTGTGTGAAATTGTCCAAAAGATTTATTTATTATTATTTATTTATTACTTTTATTGCACATGTTAGAATTTAGTACCACTTATTTTGGTAAGGAAAGAAACAAAAAATAAAATCTTCTTTCATAATTAATATTAATTAATAATCATAACTTAGTTATTAACTAAAGGAAGAAAAGTCATAAAGTCGCGTGTACTTTAAGGATAAATATCAATAATAATTAACTTTTTAAAAAAATAAAACCGACTTCAAATGCGTGAACACAAAAAAAAACTAAAAATTAAAAATATTGCGTATAAAAAAGTTCATCCCCAATTTTCCACCCTTGGGGGTGAAATATTTTCTTCAAATTCGCATGAAACCACCCTTTTGATAATACCTATTCAACAAAAAAATTATCGTTCAAATTGATTTATAATCGGCGGAGATATTGCGTATAAAAAAGTTCATCCCCAATTTTCCACCCTTGGGGGTTGTTTTTTCTATTATTAAATTTAAATGGGACCACCCTTGAGGTATTACCTATACGCCGAAAAAAGATTTGTTCAAATCGGTTCATAATTGGCGGAGTTATCGCGTAACAAACATAGAAAAAGAAACATACGGGTCGAATTGAGAACCTCCTCCTTTTTTGAAGTCGGTTGAAAATCTGGAGCTACAATTGAATCACTTGTTTTCCAAAGAACACAAGTCCAAATAGCAAAATTACAATAAATAGTTTTTTTATAAACAAAAAACTTTTTAATACATTTTTAAATTTCTTAAAGATACAGACATGAATAAACTTTACGAGGAGGCACGAGTACCTAGCCTAACAGACAGTAATTAGGTAACAACTTTTTCTACCTCCCGGTACGGAAATAAACAAATACTTTTTATTAATCGGATTTTATTCCGGAGGTTTTAGAATTTCTTACTACTTTCGCAAATCATTACAAATGAAGAAAGGAATTTACGATGTGGTACCCTCAATGTACAATTAGATTTCGGGCGATACCACTTTTGGGCGTTCTACTTTTCAGTCTTTAAATCAATCAGAGTTAAACATATATGTAGGTACATAATAAATATCTACATACTCGTTGGTGAATATTATTACTTAGTTTCGATTGAGATCATTACTTGCAAAAGGAAAGACTAAGCCAGTCTAAAAGCAACGTGAACCTATGAATAATAATTAAAAACTTCATTTTTGTCTAAGAAAATAGGCTTTCAAGAATATTAAAGGTTCAACATCGAATCTCGAGAATTCTCGAGCTCCGGTAATTTTTTTTCTCGTCTCGAATGAAGCCTTTCTCGAGTTTTCTCGAGTTCGAGAAAGCTCGAGCAGAAACCCTACTCCCCCAACGGTCATCGTCTCTGAGCTATATGCCCTTGCATATTAAAGCACTTTTACATGGTATATGTACTATCCTAGACTGCATTTCACTTAACACCAGGTGCGATTGCGGTCAAATACCTGCCTTGTTTTGCATAAAAAAATTACTTCCGACCTAAAAATGACATTGATTGACAATATCTTGTAGATTTCCTGTTATTGGTAAAAGCGGATGTAGATACCTGATTATCATAACTAGAATACTATCTACGATGAGCAATCAATTACTGCAGGAGACAATTTATATCCCATCAAAAACAATACTTGTCAAAAAAACCAAGTCTCGCAACTCAGTTGTTCTACGGTAAAAAGTTGTGAGATCCGTTGACTTGGCCATCGCACTAAATAATTTAATTTACACGTGTTTTCATGCGATGGCCAAGTCAATATATTTATGTAAAACGTTAAAGATTTCCTGGCCTGGACTTGGTATTACATGGATCTCACAACTTTTTACCGTAGAACAACTGAGTTGCGAGACTTGGTTTTTTTGACAAGTATTGTTTTTGATGGGATCTCATTTCTTTTTGTATTTTGTAGACAGCAGTTATGTATCTAGAAAACTGGACCGAAATTTAAAAATTTTACTCGACATGGCGGTTGCACTACCGTGCCCCCAAATATTTTAGTTTTTCCTTGATTCATACACCAAACACTACTTATATTCCAAATTTTAAGCTTCTAGGTCTGCTAGAAGTGCCTTAGAGTTTTGATGATCGGTGAGTCAGTGAGTCAGTGAGTCAGTGAGTGAGTGAGTGACAAAATTAAGTAACTTTGACCCGTTATAATTCTTAAACTACTGGTTCAAATTGAATGAAATTTTAAATATACCGTGTCTTTACAATGCCTGCATAGCTAATGAAAATTCAGCCTTCTAGTTTTATCCACAACGAAGTTACAGGCGGTCGAAAATGGCCTGAATTGCTTCGAGAAAAGGATGGTACGGCCGTGCCGCTTTTTTGCTCGACTTGGTGGGGGCACTGCCGTGCCCCCAGATAAACATACTTCCACCCGTATTCACAAACTATGCTTGCTTAAGTGAAGCAGGAAATCGAACGCACAACGTTTAGAGCTGTGCTGTTGTACCTACCTAGGCCGCGAGGAGAAAACCTCTATAAAAAACAACTGGAGGAGGGGATTGGGGGTTCCCTCGAAGCCAGAGAGCCTCTAGCCTGAGGGGAACCGCGGATGACTGTCCAACTAGGGCAATAACTCGCGGCTCCGTTTCTTTGGGCTCTGGTGGAAACCGTCGGGTTTTAGTGGGAAGGCCTCGCCTTTAGTGTAAGCGGGGAGAGTCCCACATAACCCACTGGCCGTCCCCATCGACCAGTGGGTATGCGCAAAGCATTTCCCGACGTAAAAAAAATGGTTCGTGTGTGACACTGTACGTCCACGCGCACTGTGAGACCTCAAAGTAATGTCTGTGCATATGGGCGCCAGACACTTTACACCACTTTGTTTCATCCACGAAGACGCGCCCCACCACTTTTTGGTCGTGTGCACTCAAGGATATTATCCAATTGCAACGCTGTTATCACACACACACACTACAATAATGACGCTCGGATTGCTCGGATCAAACTCCCCGCACTCCGCGCTTCCCTCGACCAAAAAGTGGTGGGGCGCGTCTTCGTAGATGAAACAATTTATACCAGAGCGGCGATATGATGTCACGGCTTCCAGGTGCGCTTGACTCTTACTTAACTCGATCGGGTTATAGCTGTATCAAAATTCATATAAATCGGTTTCGGGTGAAATTGTAACAGTGCGACAGATATTTTAATAAACTACGACTATATTATAAGTAACCTAATCTAATCTATCGTACATTTATGTATTCATAATATAGGTACATATTATAATAATACACACATGGATAAAATGCATAAGCGATAATAATATCGCAACTACACAGACTGTGTGTCTATAAAGAAACGATAAGACGAAAATTTTATCACGCTTATCACAAATATCTATATCCTTAATCCTTATCAATAACGGCATATTTATACGCAATTTTGTATACCCATTTTTATAAGATGCACCATACAAGAATGCGTGGTGAATTCAGAGAACTGCTCCTGAATCAATAATGTTACCTACTACTGCTATTTCTATTTATTTAAATCAACCGGCAGACAGTGGTGACTGCTTTTGTTGCGGCGCTTCTTCTCAGCACTTGCCAAATGTTGGTCTCGAACAGTGGTAGGGTAAAAAGATTATGATGAGACATGTAGATTGTAGAGGCTCCTTAAGAGCAAAATATTTGTCGAT